AATATCAGAGAAAGCAAAACTTCTGAAAAAACCACATGCAAAAGACTCAGTCTAGATACTACTCTTAATTGAAAGCAGTGTCACGGCAACTGCCTGTAGCCGTAAGTCCATCCCGGATATCGGGAATTGTACGTGTAAACAAATAAAGATATTTAAAACATTAAAGCCTACGTCGATGAGTTATGTGGTGCGCGCAAGCACAGAATAGAGAGACATGCTGCTCACAACTGTGCCAGCATGAATTCGGACCGACGTCGCGCCTGCCAATACCTTCGATGTTAACGTTTACGAGGGCCTATCACTTTATTAGGTTGTTTACTATTTATACTTCTCGTACTACATATTGGGTGTGTGGGGGTGGTGTTTTTGAACTATGGAACTGTTGATTGATCAACAAAGGTAAGAGCCCTACCTCATGTGCCTACTTCCATATTATAAAAACCGGTACGCTTTTTTAACTATTACACAGCTTTGCAGTGAAGACAATGTAACCATAGTAGAAATCCGTGACTTTAATTATATTTCAAAGCAGTAGCCAATCAGGGGCTAGTTCAGAATAAGTATGAATCAGCCCAATAAACTAGCCACAAACTTCTGCACACCAGGTCGCATTGAGACCTTCTTGACCTCTACATCCTTGTAAGACGCATTGGCATACTCGTCGAACACCAGCACATCGCCATCCGCAGGTACATGCGACCTGTCCGCTAGACCATTCTTCTGTAAGCGCTCCAGGAGACCATCGCGTGTAGTGGGGCAATGATCCAGTGCCTCGATGTGATTGTATACAATCCTATTTGTATGAATTGTGGGAGGTATACTTTGTCCTGAATAGAGTGAACTTGCAGCAGTAGAGAAACAGGAATTTCTGATAAAGTTATTCAACGTGGTCGCAGCTTAAATAGAATTTGTAGCAAGAAGGCTGATCAGTATTTCATACGCGAAGACCATCTAAAAAAAGGGGAAAAAACAAGTGAGTAAACTTGTACAAACAAGCAGTCGCTTGCAAAAATCCACATGTTATATACGCCCAATTGGTTCCGAGAAGTGGAATAGTATACCGATTCGGAAACTTTCGAATTCGAAGATTGAAAGAATAAGGCTTTCTTGAACGTACTGTGAAAGTTGAACCATTTGTGCACAAGTTGAATAAGACAGTGTTTACTTTAAAGACAGAAATACTATCAAATGGTGAATCTGTCACTATATTCAATATCAATATCATACATACACATAGAATTTGATAAACAGAAACTGTCATAATGAGAATTACTGATCCTTCATAACAATAAAAAGGAAAAAGGCAAACAATATGACTCAAACACATACGTAAGTTGACCGATGCAAGCAATCAATTAAACTTCTATAGAAATCAGCATTCGGCAATGTACACGTGTTAGGTTTTCATTGGCAGAATGCAAACCAATTAAACCTCTATAGAAATCAGCATTCGGCAATGTACACGTGTTAGGTTTTCATTGGCAGAATGCAAAAGGTATGTTTGTGTGGTGGCTAGCAGGTATGATCAAACTTTCCACAAGATAGATACCTACATGTACCAACGGGAACGCGTACTTCGCAATTGTCCACATATTCATAAACAGAGTATATAAGTCGGATGTGCGCATACTCAATCACCCACACACTAACTGCATTTGGGAGTACATACTGGTCAGGAACTAGTTTTCCTAATTCGATGAGCTCCTCTTGTGAAAACAAGATATCATATCCGAATCCCACGTTTGCAGACCCGGCAGGTGCAACAACGATACTAGGTTTGAGGCGTTTCACTGCATCTCGAACGTCTGATGTCAACACGGTATCCCCTGTTTTGAAGGTATTTAGAGTGTGGAAATTAAGCTCGGAGTAGAATTCAAATTCCCAATCAATATACAGATTTTTTTTTTTCGACGACAGTATGATATTTAAGTAGATCTACAGTACAAATGTAGACGATTGCATCTCGCAAGTCAATTTAGGATATGATGATTCATGTGCACATCGTCACTACATCTAGCGCAGTATGCACAGGCCTGGCACGAGTATAAATTAAATAGTACTTCAGCATAATTCTCATCATATAACATCAAAAATAGACTCGAATTTCAAAAATACTATAACAAAACATGTACTTCACGGTGACACAGCCCAAATTAAGCCACTAACAGCAAGCAAATCGTACGTCAATCTAAAATCTGAATAATCATGCAACTGGGAACTGATCGCGTGCAATACCGAGCAAAAGTATACTTCACGTTGAAGCACCGCCACTATAAGCTATAAAAAACGTATAAAATATTATAGTAAAATCATAAACCGTGTAGCTATGCAGTTGAGAACCAAAATCGTGCTAAATGGGTGAAGATACGCAGAGGGACGCTCGACTGCTATGGTTCAGTGTTAACTGACTACTACAGCGGAAATGCCGTACCCAACATTTGATAATCGATATTGAGACTCATATATACAACTAACTACTCTTCTCCGTAGGCATCGACTCGTGAAGGCACTGAGGCACGTAACATGTGAGCATACTAGTCTAGGATAGGGACTATTGAAGGAACGATGTGATTGTACTTTTGAAGCATAGAAAGCGCTCATATAGTCCCCCATGATCGCTCTCTCAGACCTTCTCCCGCAATAGTAAACGACCTATCGCTGTTATATACACCACGGCAACACCGATATATTAGTGTAGCATGGTGGACAGTAAACAACATGTACCAATACAACTCAAATAGCACGGAATACATAAAGGCACGTATGAACAAAGCATGACGGAAAAGAGTACCAACACATCCTATACATCACAGTATATGCATGACAACACGTATAAACGGATATAGATATACTGGATGCATAGGTTTACATGCTGTTTGTGTGTCTATCCCTGTTGTGTGAATATGATGCAGTTACACGCCACTTGTTTGCAACAATTTTGTATAAAACAAGTCGATATGAAACGTAGCACAGGCCCATCCGTACCTGTAATGTAGAGGCTGGGCTCGCCATCGGCTGCCAAATAATAACCTACACCAGGGCCCATGATCCACGCCTGCGGACCGTAGCCATGCTGAGCAGGAACAGCTTCAATCCGCATACCGAGATCGCCGTCAGTGACCTCGTGTGCATCTAAGCCCCGACCACGTAAATCTGCTTCATCATGTCTGTGGCATCGCAATGTGTGAATGTAAGTCGATTTATGCGTAGCATATGACAGGATTTACTAAAGCTGGGTGTACTGAGGTAGGCTGCAGTATTTTGGGGGTCGGTTTATCTCACATCAACAACCTTGGAACATATTGTATACACGAGCTGGGATTTTCCTTAGGCAACTTGCAGCAGATAGGCAGTATCAGAAAAACCACAAGATCAAAAATAGTTATCAAGGTCGTGTTGGTACAAGAATGTACAGTGTGCCACAGTACTCGATAACTAGATGTATTTTATAAGCAGCTTAAACACTATATTTTTACTAGAGTCACAACTATATTACCTCGATGGCTGGCGATACTGAAGGCGGTCGAATCGTATTGTACCATTTCGCTTTTCATTTAGAGCTTCACGCAAAACTTTAAACTACATACCGCTTTTGAAACCGAAAATAACTGGCACCTCACGTGCACGAATCAGCATGACATCGGGCAGTTTATTTTAAGACGATCCAACTGATTATAAGAAGAATTCGTACGGCGTAGATTTCTCACTGCTCACGCAGGTGGTTGTATACACATTTTCCCGTATAAACTAATCGAGCCACATTTCCAGAGCAAAACACCTTCAACTTCATACCCGCTACAGTAAACCTTAAGTTTGTTATCACGGAGAAACTTCACACCATCCTTGTCCAGGTGATCGGGATGCGGATGAGTCACCAGCGCACATGTGGCGGACTTGATTAGCGCGTCAGCACCGCCAGGAAGATCCTTCAACGGATTCGCTAAGTCATCGGTTTTCCCTACCAGCTTCAGAGGACAAAGTTCAAAATATGTATTTATATACAAATATACATCCATGTATTCACACATTGTGTCATATGTGAGTGTACTTCCCATGTATATGAGTATGTATCTCAATGTAGTTTTCAGCCACACTTTTTAAACTAGCAATAACAGCAGAAGTCTCGAAAGCGAAATATTGGATCCAATCACAGGCGACCACTCAAATTGCTTTATTTACTATCGAAACAACGCAACCTGATGAGCGTACAAAAACATATACCCTTTGGTAACACGTACCTTAGACAGGACTATCTCCGGACTCCTATTGGAACATGTAAATTACGTGTGCGTACATGTCGACGGAGACACATAGATCCAAAATAAATAGATACAGTCGATTTGCTGCAAATGAACGAAGCACATATGTTCTAGCACATCACTTGAGGGAATGGTCGACAAATTGATACTGCACTGTACAAGTGTACCAAGTCTGGATATACGAGTTTATCATTTAAAGGCTAAGAAACGATTACACAATCATCTTAACATAAATAACTCACTGGCAACTGTCGATAGACATGGAAGTTATAATCTGTGTACGAGCATTTCGAAACATAGTAGAAAGGTTTGATACACACACGATATACGGGTGAGATAGAGTTTGTGTTGGAAATACGAATAGGCATTGATGTGCCATGTAAGCAAATCATGCCAGCCCCAACCAATTGGTCAAATCAAGTCTGTGTGATTCATATTGTAGTCGAGAACTAGACTTCCTTGTATATGATCAACACTATATGAGAGAAAAGCTATTCGGTACCCAAAATAGCTGTAAATTACAAACAAAAGAAGCAAACATGCAAGCCCAAGACGTCAACGAAAAAATCAATCAAGTGTCCTCATTAGTGTTCATTTCCCTCCATACGTGTAATTTGCAAAATATATATACATAATATATATATATATACATATATATATACATATATATATACATATTGATACACTCACACACACACACACATACACATAAATATATATATCTATAAAACA